GAAAGATAAAATAGTTTAGAAATGATGAAATTAAACATCAATTAAATCAATAAATCTTCCTTTCGGCTTTTGCAGTATGTTTCATTATCGCGTCCGTTATAAAAATCCGAAAAAATGTATTAAAAATTGAAATTAAAATCGATTAAATCTAACAAAAATTTAAATACATCTTAAAATATGCAATTGTATCATGTAAATACAAAGGATATCAAAATATGCAAGATCCGCAAAAATAAATTCGGTTTAATAAATATTGCAAACCGAAGATACACAAAATCTCATAAGACAACCAAAAGTAAACGATTATTCACAGCTTTAGCTGATCAAACAATTGAATTAAAATTAAAATAATTACTAAATACAAAAATCATTGTAGTTACGTCTATAGATATATTGTAGCTGAAGAGCCATGATCAAATAACAAATGATGATGAAATTGGTATGTGCGGATTATGTTTCTAAACCTTCACTTCTCTACTTTAATTGAACTTGTATCTCAATTTGCACGACACTGGGTTCGTTGTAATGACAGGTGTAAAATTGGCTCTTTAATGGTGAAAAAACTCCCTTTAACGAGTACTGAGAAAACCTTAAAGAAAGGCTTCAGATAAGCGACGTCTGTTCGATAAACACAGCACTTCCACTAACTTCCTCGTAAAACGTGACACACGTTTCCGCTTAACGGTAAACAAGAACTTTACAACTGACAAGACTGACTGTCTTGCAAAAAATACGATCAAATACGGCTTTTAGCCATAACATCAGCAAAGAGTTTGTTAATATTGATGGAAAGGTATATACTGTGCCAATAATTTGACATAAGTAGATTATATAAAACAAAAAATACATTGGAAAATTGTGCGTCAAAATCAAAGAGATGCTATTCCGGAAGCAGCAAAAAGATGAAAGATAACCCTAAGTTTGGCTTCCATATCACCTCACGTAGAATTACCAAACTGGCTCTTGACAACTACCATTACGTAATGCTAATAACTTAAAGTGTACAAGCGCATGCAAACTGCCAACTTGTGGATACGTCACTGAAGAAAGGATGAAGGAGCAGATTTTAGTGTATATGAAACTTTTGAAAGTAACGATGGGGTTAATTTAGTTTTCATTAAATGTTAAGAGTTAAAAAAAATTCCGTTCGTTTACTTCATGCATTAGTTACTAATTGTTGATTTTATCGGAAATGTAGTTATGACAATGGGCCGTATGAATAAAAGGAAGCAAATGCTTATACTTACAAAATTCAAAGTAAATACTCGTAACTGCCCCTTCATACTGGTCTTTTTAGCATGGTTTAGCAGCGTTGCACTGCGCCCTGTCCTGCTGCTCAGCAGCGCTGCTAAATCGCCCAGTGTGAAGGAGCACTTACGAGTATTTACTTTGAATTTTGCAAGTATAAGCATTTGCTTCCTTTTATTCATATGGGCCAATATTGTAGCACACACAAAAGCTTTCATTTAAGAAAATGATGAAGTCGGACCAATAGTTCGAAAGATAGGTATAGTTCATTTTATAAAACTCAACATCCGCCATCTTGGATTGGCCGCCATTTCTATTAGCTACCACTTTGAGATGGCAATTATCGTTTTTTTACATCCTAATGTATGTGTCTAACCGTGGTAAAAAGGAAAATTGGTACCCCCAAATTATACCATTTCCTTAAATTTAGCCAGTTGGCCCATAGACTATATAAACATGAATCTCACCAACCTGTACTTTCTAGTTATATAATTTGTAAGAAAAAAAGCCTCGTGGTTAATGTTATATCAATCTCTTGGCTTTGGACTTAGCCTAAATGAAACCACTAGGCTGCAAATTGCTTCATAAGACTCAAATTACTATCAAAAATTCCTAACAAACATATAAGCAGCGTTTTCGTATCGTTTACGCATAACAGTTAATATGTGTTACATTAATTGCGCGATAATATTCATGACGCAAGTAAACACGAAACGAAGTCTAATATAACAATACAATATTGGTACAACCGGCGGTATATAAGCGTTCTCTCAAACATCCCGAAGTTCTGCACATAAAATTTAACTGCTACGCGCTAATATCTTGTATTATTGCAAGGGAAATCTACTTGAAATTTTGATGCTGTTTATCTCGCATTGAAACGCAGATTATAGCAACTAATCTCAAAACACCTAACGTAAGAAGTGGGGACGAAATGTCTTTGTGTTTCGAAGTTACCGCTTTCAATGACTTGAAAGAAGGTTAAGGGTAGACAATGAAATGTGAGTACTGAGCTGAAAAATAAAGAAGTTGTAAAGATGCATGTTTCGTTATCAAGATTAACCACAAATCCCAATAAATTGTTATCATACATCGCGTCTTGGGGAGTTTTTCACTTTCCTTTCAAATTTCCTCAACTATTAGGATTTTTAAACTAACAAGATGGGGTCGCCGCCCCTCGGGCGGTGCAGTAAGCTTTAGCAAAACGGTGTGGCGCCTTTATAGATTTCTCCATAAATAGCGCTATCGGAGCAAAGTGTCTAGTTCGCCAACTTTAGAAGTTTCGAATAAACCAAACGAATTTTTATGAATTAACTACCAGATAGTATGTAACCAAATTAGGCACCTATACGTCGATGGACATTTACATAAGAGCGGCAAAACGCGTTTATTCGCTTATTATAATATATACTTTTGAATTTTTGGGCGAAACTTAATAAATAAATCAGTGAAGTAAAGAATTTTTGAGCAGCCACCAAAAGACAAACCCAGTCTAAATTTAGTTTGCAGTCTCGGTTCGACCAACTCGATAAAGTCCCCTATGACGTGATTTTAACTGACATTACCGCCAATACTTTCGTGATTTCGACAAATTTCCGTTAACCACCAGAAATCGAGATCGAATCAAAAAATATACAACCAAAAAATCAATTTTAAGGTATTGTACAATACCAGTACGTAATATGTGTCAATACTTATCGCAAAGAGCGTCTACAATAAAGATTCTTTTTTTATATGTAGATTTTAACAATATAACGCCCCTCCTTGTGATAGGTGTTTTAAAATACTGCTACTAAAAGATTAAAGGCGATACTTACGATAAGCCAGCAAAAAAAAACAATTATATCCTCCCTATTAAAGTTTTTAGGTGAATCCGTCCCAGGATCCGTCCTAACAATATTTCCGGAATCCCCAACCAAAGTAAATATGACTGTCACTGTAAAAATGTTAGAAATAGTGATGTGGATTGTAAAATAACGATTTGTAAGTTACATAAAAAACGGTTATATTACGCGTAACTTACAAGAGGTCGGTTTTTTTATGTAATTTATGTCTTTTATGAAACTTACGTAACTTACGTTTTTTATTTAAAAAACCGTAATTTTTGTAAATTTACATAAATGTAATACCTATTTGATACATTTTGATCGGTACTACCACAGACCATCAACGGTACTACCAACGTAAACGATTCACCGTTGAATTTAGTTTGGTTTAATGAAGATGATACAGCCTCTAATTCGCGATCTGGAACTTCTTCCTCCAAACGACGCGTGATGGCGAAATACCTACTGCTTGGGTATTTTATTTAATACACCAAAATATATAATTTAACAAGTGTTTTTATTTTCAAACACTCACAAAATTCAAAAAGGTTTATAGAATATTAAAAAAAACATAAGAAACATAAATGACAGGTAATTTTACCAAAATATTTGTAAATTACGTAAAAAACATAAATTACTGGTAATTTTACTGTAAAATTACGGGCTTTTAAAAAAATGGTAAGTTACATACATTCCATAAAATACATAAAAAACATAAACAATTGGTAATTTTACACGTAATATTACGCACTTTAAAAAAAACATGTAATTTAACATCACTAGTTAGAAAGCTTAATCCGCCATAGTTTGACTTCTCTTACAATTTGTGTAAGCTATTACAAACAATAAACGTGAGTGGTTATCCAATTTTAATAAAACGGGTAACAGTAATCCGACCTCTAGCTAACAACGGGTTTTGTTAATAGCGAGCGAAATGAACATCGTCCTTTGTTAGATCTCACACAGAGATCTATTACAAATACATGTTGAGATATAAATTAGGGCAGAATGTGTAAAATATATTTCACGTGCTCTTCAATATTAGTTAAGGGAGGTTTCCAGATCCCAAAATTATGGTTATTTTGGCGTGATCATATTCTGTATTGCTTATGTCGTGTGCTTTAATAATGCGTCACAGTCATTATCCTTCTCCACATATATAACTAGTTGCGACTAGTTTACCCTTGTTTCTGGGGATCTGTATAAATGTGCAAATATTGTGTAGAATGCGACATTTGATTTCCGCACGCCTCCTCGTTTAAGTTATGCGAATATGTGAAGCCGTACATTTTAAACCATGAAATGTGGACAGGAGTGATTAGGGTACAACACCAAATTCATCTTCATTTTAAACGTAAGTGAGAGTTAAATGGTCGTACGTTATACCTGTCATTAGGGAAACGGAAATGTCTAACATTAACCCGAGTACATAAATCAAGTAGTTATTCACAATATATAATCTGGAAAGATCGAGTCAATTTCTCTTGGATGTTTAAGATAATCACCCTCGTGGGCTTCCATTGCTAATACTATCGAGAACAATTCGCATTTACAATGTAAATTCTCTCCTATAACATTTAAAATGTACGAAAGGTAAACTTTTTTATTCCTTTTCTATTGCCACGAAGTTTACCAAATAGCAGCAAAAGGGCAACCTGATAGGATTTTTAAAGCTCAATTTATCTCCTTGAAACTGCTAACTACACATGGCGGTCATTTGAACACTGTCTGCTAAAAACGTGTGGTATTCATGTACTTTTTTTTATAAATTCATAGCATTATTTCCATGTTTATACAAAATACAATTGCCCCGAAGCTATTGTCGAATAAAACACACGAAAAACACTGCTTTTTCAAGCGCAAAACAATCGAGACCAATATTTGGTTTTCCTCCACTACATAAATAACAAAAACCGTTGTTTACAGGTATCTTGGATTCGCAAAAGGGATTTACATATACTGACCGCGGGTATCCTAACATACACATCGGATCAGCGATTTCAAGTAATACGACCGGACAAATCGGATAACTGGACGTTGCAGATCAAATTTCCTCAGCTTCGAGATTCCGGAATATACGAGTGTCAAGTCAACACCGAACCAAAAATGTCCTTAGCTTACAGACTGAACGTCATCGGTAAGTTCAAAATTAATAAGTTCCATACAAATATCCTTATGAATACATATTAAAAATTCCGATTTTTTACTTGATAAAGGATCGGTTACCGAAGCGTATAAGCGCATCGCATCCTTTACACAAGCAAATTTGCTGCCTGAATACATTTAACAATATTTGAGTTACGCAGTCGAGCAACTAAGGCGATTTTTCTCTATATGGCGGTACGCAGGTAAATGTCTATTATTATTCGTTTTGCCACCGACAAGTAGTGCTGGCCCGTATGTGTGTAATGAATATCCGAAACACTGGAACAACTTGAAAGTGACTTTAAATTGGAGGAGAGTTTACGCGATGACAAATACCTCCTCCCCCCCCCCCTACTTTCCTCCTAAATATAGTAGGTAGTTAAGAATAGCAGGGGGAATTAAATGAAAAAAGGGGAGGGGTGCAGGGGAATTTGTCCTACCTTTGTTCACGGAAAGACAGTTTAAAATGTAGTTCTTTTAAATGAAAAATGCGCAAATATTTAAGGACAATAGGAAAAGATTTTTTAGCGTGTTTTTGAAAAAAAGTAGGGAGGAAGGAAAAACCAAACCGGTCCTATGTAAGGTAGGGGGACGTATTTGGCGTGTGGTGTTGAAGATTTGAGAGTGGTTTGGGAACGTAGGGAAGAAATTTTTTGGTAAGGCTGATTAATCGGCTCTAACAACTTGTAGGATATTCAGATGTACATGTACACAGTTTTCTATACAGTGCGTTCGAGATAAGAGGGTCACCTCAATATCTCTCTTAGAGAGAGACGAAAAATTTGTTAAATATAATTTTATGTGACATTACGATCTATCTGATTGCATATTCAAACTTCCGGTGTAACCGGAAACCGATGTAACTTTTGTTTTGCAAGTGCAATGCCTATATTTTTTACGATATTTGATATGCACGGCACCTCCAAAAAGCATTATGCGGGTCCTGTAATTGGGCGAAAGTCTGTGGAGGGCCCAACACAAGAGAGGGAAAATAAATAATAAAATAAATAAAAATAAATAAAAAATTACACGGGGAGATTGTATTGTCCAAAAGAACATATTAAAAACAAAACATTGAACAAGTTATTGTCGGTCTTTTCTATGTGATGTGGCACACACTTGCTAGATTTCCTAAATTTATCCAATTTCCAACGAAGTTGGGTGCGCTATTGCAGCCACTTTCTCTGTTCGTCCGTCTGTCCGTCTGTCGGAATCCTTATCTACTCCTACAGTTTTCAAGATATTTAGTTCGTTCTTTTTGCATTCGGTAGCGTATAGCTCTGGCACCTGTGCTAAGGAAAATCTTGACGATTAAACTGCGCATGCGCATGCTGCCTAAGTCAACTTTCTTATTTATTAATATTTTTGTTGGAATTTTAACCACCTATACTTTTAGTAAAGGCACACATACCGCATATAGTAAAAATCAGCTGTGCGCATGCGCAGACTGCGCAATACCAACTTTCTTATTTATGAAGATATTTTTTTGAAATTTTAACCATAGATGCTTCTAGTAAAGAAAAACATATCATATGTAGTAAAAATTGGAAACTACAAATGTCATTAGCAGAGGCAAACACATCGCCTATAGTAAAAGTCAAATGCGCGCATGCGCAGACTGCAAAATGCCAACTTTTTATTTATGAACATCTCTCATTAAAGTTTAACCATAGACGCTTCTATTAAAAACAAACATAGCATACCTATTGTACAAATTAAATGTGCTCATGCACGAACTGCTCAACGTCAGCTTTTTTATGTATGGAGATATTTCTTTGAAATTTTAAATATATTATGTATGCTTCTACTAAAGAAAAACATAGCGCACTATGACTTTTCGCGAAGTACTGATGAATTCATGTAAAACGCACTGAAGTTATTCGCCTTAGAGCGAAAACGTTTTTACTTGTTTTGTATATCAACCATAATAATTATGCATATATTTTATGTTGTCATACAGAAAATTGATTACTCTTTTTAAATATCGTAAAAAAACCGAGCATTGCATTTGAGAAACAAAAGTGGCATCGATTTCCAGTTAAACCGGAAATGATACGGAAAGTTTATGCGATCAGATAGATCGTAATGTCGTAATATAAAATTATATTTGACAAATTTTTCGTATCATCCCAAATAAAAGAGGTATTGAGTTGACCCTTTTATCTCGAACGCACTGTATATGATTCCCCGATTTGCTAGAGTGAATTGGATATAGTGATTTGAGGGATATAAGATTAGGGGGAGGGTGTTGAGGGTGTACCTGCCTTGTGTTGTCTTGAAAAATGACAAACATATCAACGTAACCCTAGGTTTGCTGCGATGGACCAAGGTTCCGTAGATGATGAAAGAAAGATACTGAATGCATTTTCAAATTTTACAAAGAGGAAAAAGCGATCAAGCCAGCAAAACAAAAAGCTTTACTTACATATAAATTTGTATGACCTCGGATCAAAGTTCAAGGCCACGACCTTGGAAACTCCCAGGGTAATGGTCTTGGGAAATCCCAGTGTCATGACTCTGGGGAATCCCAGAGTAATCAATTTGGGAAATTCCATGTAACGTCACCGGAGACATTCCAAGGTTACCTTGTGAGCTGGGGACCCAAGATCTTTTCTCTTTTTTCGGTGTCATTCGATTCTCTCAATTTCCTAAGATCTAATTCACTCGAGGAAATCAGTGTCTGTTATCCGCTTCGATTCCTTCCATCCCCTTTCCCCTAACACACAAGTTCTCCTCCAAATTCTTTTTCCACAAACCTGTACACTTCCTCCTCAACGAAATCAATTATTCCTCTAAGTTTAATTCTATCCTACAAATACCAGAACTATGAATAAATTCCCTATCAACTTGACAACCAATCTTTACCAAAAAATGTCTGCCCAACATCTTTCGCAAACCTCACTAAAGCCTTCAACAGCGGATTACAAATATCTCCTGCGTAAACAGAACATTTTCGTTTCCTTCTTCTCTTTTTTTTTGTTCAACTAACATTTTGAGTTTAAAAAATCGAGTTGTCCCACATTCAAGAACCGATTGACATTTAAGCATTAATTTGTGCTCGTGCTGATTTGTGCTTCAACTCCCCCATTTTGTGTGTCGCTATTAACGAACGTAATGTGGGCCCGTGCCTCAACATTTCTAATTTGTGATTGTGCTCATATTGTGCGCCTACTCGAAAGTTTTGTGCGACAATGTTGACGGAGATACGGAGATTTAATGGTTTCCGATGGTTATCAAAATTTTTGTCTGAATTGTGCTCGTTTTTTGCTGACTTGTACGCAAATCTCCATGCTTTGTGCGCCAAATTTAAAACAAACTTCACATACGTATCTTTCGAGTTTCAAAAGCAAAGCAAATCTGACTCGGAAATTATGGTTCGTTGGTGTACATATTGTGTATTTGTTGTGCTCACTTTATATGAAGTGTATCTTACAGAGTAATGACTATGTAACCAGTAACTACCATAGGTCAAGGGTTGTATTGTTTTGCATTTCAATGATATGAATTTGTATGCAAGGTATAATATAATAACTTTGTAGAACAAGTTAAGGGCGTTCAATAATTGTTACGGTAGTAGTTGGCTGTGTCTTTCTTCTTCTGCTATGGACCGTCGATGTGAAAGGTTAATAAATAGAAAATCACTTGCAAGTCTTAATTTTGATTTATCAAAACGTACAGAAAAGTTTAACAAGTGAAAAAGCGGATGATAGAAATTTCTTTCTCTTTAATTCACCAAATAACAAAAAAAACATTCAAAGAAGAAAATGAGTAACTAAATGGAAAATTCTCACACTTTTTCCTTAAATACTAACTACTTGACCATAAGAACTCCCTTTTTTATTATCCCATAACTTAAATTTTGAAATTTTGAGCCTGTTGTGCCACCTTAGGTTATATTTAAATGATATTCAACTGTTAATGGTGATACATTTAGCTGTCAGCTAGGTTTAACAGAGGGTAGTACAACTGAACCTAAGAATTTAGATAAAATAAGCTCGTGCCAAATGAGCCCACAAATAAATTGAACTACGAATAATAACTCGAGAGATCCTATAAATTCATCCTTGTTTTCTACAAGAATAAATACACCACAAACACTCTCTTTTGCAAAACATTTCATCACTTTTAAAAGGCGCATTCAATGAATAATAGGGAAAAAAGTATCTTAATTCCTATGGAAAATTTTACTTCCAGAATCGGAAACTTGACTTGTTTTGGATAACAGTGACAGTAATTTCGCAACTTCCGCTATCTCCAATGGTCTAGTCACTCTAGTCATAGGTCCCACTGATTAAAAGAGGTCGCCAAGGGGACACCTGAATGTTCAAAAACAAATCAGCTTATCCAAATACAAACGGCGTGCCTAATTTGAAAGTAAGTTCTTCGTGTTAAAAAAATGTAGAAGGTTAATGTAGACAATGTGTTACAAATGAATTGTTTTAATTGTTTGACAGTTAAGTAAGAACCTGGGTCACCAAAACCAAGTTGCTTCACTCACTCCAACTCCTCTTGTGGATAAAACCTGTTTTGTTTTAGTTACAGCACTTGGAAAGTGTGATTTATGTCGAAAAATTGTTGTAGTTGACAGATTATTTATTACGTATCTAAAATAATGCACCAACGATACTAATTTTTAACATATTTATTACAAGATGAAGCTATGTTCATTCGCGATTTATTGTAAAATATGAAATGCAATAAATGTCTAAGGAAGGTAAACTGTATTTTATATTTACGATAATCGATAGATGGTGAATATAAATCTGAAAATATTGAAATCGGTCCCCAGAGTTCCTCTTATAAGGGTATCTCGTTGAAAAAATATTGAAATGAAGCCAACAAGGGAGTTGAAGCTTTTAAAGTGTTTTGTTGATTTAATTCTATATACGTAAACGTTGAGATATATGTATATCAAACAATGCCAGTTGTACATACCTACTTCCAGGTTATTATTTTCCAATGGAATCTTTCGGGCTTTACGTCGACGAAACG